TTAAGAACTGACAATAGGTTTGTTTAGCTGTAGCTCATGGAAAACACCCTAACCAAATGTCATCCTGTGTCCTAAAATGGGATTTATAAGACTTACTTAGGCTGATTTATTTTGTCATTTTGGATATAAGAGTGTAAACAAAAAGAAATTTCGTTTAAAACAGTTCTAGACAATTCAATTTTTTTTAAAGTGCAGCCTTGAAAACAGTAATAAATACATAAAAAATAGTAATATAAAAATATGACTGTATATTTACAGTTCTAACTTTCTTTTTTTATATTTATACTACACTATATTTATACTATATATTCCACAATGATTCTAGAATTCCTCTATATTTACCAATTATCGTTCATTTAAATATTTGAAGCTAATGCCATGACATTTTGCCTAAATCTCTCATGCTAACTAATGCTAACTGCTACTTACGTCTCTGGAAAATGTGACACACGGTCCTTGTCGCCATAGTTATGACTTTAAATACAAATTATAGAGAAAAACAAACTTAAAAAAGCTACAGTTAAAGAGTAAACAAATAAATGACAAGCTAGAAACCCCTATAGTTGAAGGACGCCATGCATAAGCTCTGTGCACCGCATATTTATGTCCGCCGTCCAGCAGAAACGAAAAAAGTTCCGCTTGACGTTTATAAACTGAGCTGCGATGTTACTTACCGCCACCAGGTGCCGCTGTTTAGACCTTGCTAACGCCCTAAATATTTTTTTTGAAATAATATTTGTGTGTTTATCAGTTGAATTGAGGACTTGACTTAAGTCCTAGATTTGATGACCTGAGGAATTACTTGATTTTAGCAGAATAAAGCAGTAACTTCACGTTAACTTGAGCACCAATGACTTGTAATAGTGTGACTTTACTTAAAAAGATGTATAAAATATTAATAACACTAAAACTGAATTATTTAATCCACATTTTTTGTTTACTAATGTCATTAATATTTTATTAGTAGTTGTTAATGACTTGAAATGTATGTGATAGGACTTGTCTTGACGTTAGACTTCAGAATAAACACTTCAATAAGACTTATCCTTAATTTGAGAATTAATTACTTCAAGGAACCTATTATATGTTAGAATACCTTTAAAAGGTGACGTTAGACAGAAAGTTTAACTTGCCAGTGGAACAAATAGATGTTCTTAATTGAAAGAAAAGGAAAAATCAATAACACTGGAAAAGTGTAAATTAGGTTTTATATATAAAAGCACCAATTCCACAGATTTGTGTCTTTTTTTCTTATTGGTACATTGACTGATAATATATTACTTATTAAAATGGTAGTGATATGCATCCTAAACCAAAATAACATCACAACAATTTACTTTTTTCTCCCTGGTTCAGCATTAACCTATTCATTAATTCATAATATGTTTATAATAGCTCATGTTTTGCACAGGAAGAACAACTAATGGAATTTGCAAATATGCATGCATTATAGATAACAGTTCAAGTAGTGTTGGGGCATCATACCTATAAAAAAAAAAAATGCCCAGAGGATTTTTGGGGAATATGGATTTCAAAAGGATGAAATTGATAACACCAATTTACAGTTACAAACAGTTTTATATGGGATTCCCCAGGGTTCAATTCTGGGATCCTTGCTATTTATTTTGTGCATAGTTCGTATTTATGTTTCTACATGTTGTACTCTTTCCAGACAACACTAATAATGATGTATATGTTGTGCAAAGTACATTTACCATCTAATGCAAATACATAGATACAAATAAAATAAAATGAACAGCCTAACATTTAAAAAATAAAGCTAAAATAAAAAAGGGCTTAAGAACAAGTTTCTTAGGGTTACTCTGGACAGTAAACCATATTGGAAATCATGGCTTTTTTCAATCCAAAATGTCATCGTCAGTCCGACATTAATCCAAAGATTTATCAACCAGATATCTTAAGTGCATTGAGAGAGAGAGAGCCCTTCTGATGACGACAAACCTTGTTTCTTTCTGTCCGGGGGATGCCGCTCCAAACCATCACTCCGCCTTTATCAGAATCGATCAAGAAATTTCTTTACAACCAAATAAATAAACATATATATATATATATATACATATATATATACTATGGTTATGTGTATATATAACTTTTTTGGTTTAAAGAGAAGGAAAAAGGTTTTTCCGGGATATTGCATCTAGCGACAATGAACTTTACTGCAATGAAATAATCGACTAAGATCAAATTTCCTTACCTTTTTGTGGCATATTAGTTCTTTTTTTGAAAACAAATTCCTATTTAAAGTGTAAAGAATCAAAATAAAAACACTCATTCAGTTTCAGTGTTGCATAAGAATAGTGAAAAAGCTAACTATGGCGATCCCAACGATGCACCGTTCTAACCAAACAGCTTCTTAAACATTCAGAATTATAGACGATGCATAACATAATCTTTATAATCTATAAATATTAGGGTGGAAACAATTCATTTAATTTAAAACCAATCACCTAATTTATTATTGACTGGATGACAGAGACTAACAAATGTAATGAGCAGAAAGAGCAACCCACTCAAAGCAGTAATTATACCAAAGTTGTAAAAGCGATATAGTAATTTGCTTTTAAGTTGAAAACTTTTTTTTTATCTTTTGTGATTGACCTAAATGCTAAACATCCAGGTGTAAATGCACTTTTTAGAAGCAAACTGATTACGTAGTATAAATAGGGATGGAGTTTTTTAGCTTGGATTCTTTTTAGTTTTTAAGATGTTTATTTAAAAAAAGTCTTTTCTTTTTTGTTTTTGAAAATGATGAAATTTGAAAGAGGAATGCATTAATACCAAGGCTTCAGTTCCCCAGTTTTTTTTGTTTTTGTTTTAGAAATTTGCATTATTTATCAATCTTTTCTTCCAAGATTTAGTTTTTACTTATGTCCATGATAATCATCACTTTGAATCTTGTTTTTATAATTATGTTATCCTGATAAATGTTGAGAAGGCTCATGATTGGATATAGAATCCTGTTATGGTCCCTAAAGGCTCCCTCTTCGCATCCAAAATAAGTGTTGGGTTTATTTAAAATTCAACAATCCAAAACATCCAAAGATAATAAGTCATAGAACCAGAAAAGACTGAAAATATTGTTTCTTCCAAACAAGTTCATATAAAAAAAACAGGAATTCATCAATAAGCACATGAGACACTTGTGCGTAAAGTTTTATTTTTTGAAAATAAGTGTTTCTGACATCAAACCACTAACATAACTGGTGTGACCCAGACAGACGAGCTACTCGCTGACACTTCTGCTTACCTTATACTCAAATCAAGCATTTGGATCATACGTAGTGTGAAAAAGAAGACGAGTGTCCGAACATTTCAAACGACAAATTTGACTGACTGATACTGCCTCTTTGGGGCGAGACTGATTGTACTCAGTGTCAGTGTGACAGCACAGCTTCATGCACACATCATCCACAGTAGGTCAGCGTTTGGGATCTTCTGCAGGAACTCCCCCCTCCAAAGGTGCGGTTCTCTTAGACATTCTTGCATCTTTTCATTCATTCGTAGTTAAGTTAGGCGGGTCCTGCTGTGAAATGAGCTCCCAGTGCAACTCCCATCACAGTGGCGTTACGTATCTGTTACATGGTGGAAGGTCTTGCACTGCCAGATAATGTCCAAAAAGGTGCAAAAAAGAGACGGAAAACACAAAGGGAGGAAAAGAGACCACTGAGCGCACTGCCATACCTGCTTTAACCTATGGCTGCTTTCCCAAAGAGCATTTAGCACTACAATCCTCTTCACTAATATATATTTGGCACCACGGTGCATTAAGGAATTTCACTCCAAATGAATCAACCAGTGCTGATGGATGCTGGAGGTTGAGTGTTGCTTTGTTGTTCAAGTGGAAATCCAGTTTTTGTCAAACAGGTGATGAATGCTTGGATCTGACTCACCTTTACCTTTTTCAGAGAGCGTTTTACTACATTTCCCACAATGCCTTTCCAGACAGAAGGCTGAAACTTGAAGAAATACTATCAACACAAGTGGATTTTTCTCCTCCGACTCTCTAACACGAATACATTTGCACTTTAATGCGCGTTCTACTCCCCCCCTCCACCCACCGCTCCTCCCTCAGGCGGTTACTGAATGCTACAGGCAGGGCAGCAGGTCTCCCTTCGGTCGGGCAGAGGGCAGAAGTCCATCTGCCTGACGATCTCAGCAAACAGTTCGTCCACCATCGTCTTGCTCTTGGCTGACGTCTCCATGAAGGGGCAGCCCCAGTCCTCGGCCAACGCCTGGCCCTCGCTGGGGGACACTTCTCTCTCGTCCTCCAGATCCACCTTGTTCCCCACGAGCACCACCGGCACCTGCTGGTACCTGCGCAGAAGACAAACATAGGAACTCATTTAAGTTTGTGTGGACCACTAGAACGCCTTTATTTGAACGCCTTTATTTTGAACCATCCAAGCTGGACTTGGCATTTTGCTTCAAATCATAGGTGCATGCAAACTCAAATGATCAGACATCCTCCTTCCGGATTTTACTCAAGGAAGAGTCCCAGACTGCCCCACATTCAGCACCATGCTCTTTCTCAAACGGGATGCAGAAACTGAGACGGTGTTGAATCCTGAACTCTAACCTTAGCCAAAGAAAATGAGTCCTGCGCTGCTGTTCTTGGTTTATTAGTCACCTCTTATATAAGTCATCACTCGTCTCTTGGAGTAATTTTGGTAGGCTTTCTAAAGGTTCTCCACTGCTCCATGAATAGTTTCAAAAGCCAGAGAACTCTTAGTGACTTCGTTATCATGCATTCTTGAAATTTCTTGATCTTTCAACCTTCTTGATGATGTCATGAAGTACTTTCTGTTTTAAAAAGTAAATCCCACCATTTGAAAATCCTTAATCAGGTTTAGGGGTGTCCTTCAGACTAAATTTTGATCGATTATTTGATCAATTAAATGAAAAACTTATAAAGCTGCAGCGTTTTTTAGCCTGCATGCCGCATCTACATTATCCCCCCCAGCAAATAAGAGGTTGCAAAAAAAACACCAGTCAGAATATGCTATAAAACACTGCCTCTTTATCTATGCTTTCATATTTTGTGAAAAATCTCCAAACTTTAAGCACTTTTCTAGAATTAAAAGCTTCTTTGCACAACTTTCTTTCTAACTTTCTTTCCTCTGAGCTATCAATACAAAGAAACCAGGCTGCAGAGACTAATGGGATGAGTTACTGAATAATTGAATAAAGCTAATGTGCTGCTCTAAAATGGGGTGACATGAACATTAGCTTTCGAAGAACCCCCCTCCATGTGCTTATGATATACATTAGGACATTTTACAAGAAGAAGAAGCAAATGTAAGCTGATGTCTAGTTCGGTCGTTTTGTTTGTCTCCGTCCAGCTTTGATGGATTTAGATTCAAGCTTGGTAGGAAAAATAAAGAATAAGGCAAGTCTATTTTAGTCCTTTTTCTTTTAATGTTTGGAAGTAATCAGTCGACTATGGTTTTGCACATTATTACACTACCGCCTCCATGCTTTATTATGAACCCCATTAGCTGGGCTGCTGAACTACATCAAGATAAAAAACAAACAAACACAAAAGGTCATGAAAAAAGAAAACAGTGCCCATCATCACCACAGACCAAGCATTAAACGTTGATCTGATCCACAATGGCGTCTTTTTACTCTTTTTGCTCCAAACCCAACCCTGATCTGTTATAGCCTGGTCCTCTCCTGACATCTGACTGTCACAGTGGGGGAGGAGGTTGTTTGACAGAACCCAAATGCAGAGGAGGCAGGGGTGAGTTTTTATAGATTTAATGAATTACACAAAGGTAACAGAGGCGGGAATCCAAAAATCCAACATGAGAAATATAAAACAAACCAGAACCATGGAGACATTAGGGGAAAACAATCACAAGGAGCCAGGGTAAGATGAAGTAAGACGAGGTATGATAGAGTAAGACGTAGTTAGACAAAGTTAGACGAGGAAACAGCACTGAGGAAACAGCACAAGGAGAGTATTTATGGGAGACTGAACAAAGAGAGCTGTTTGGGAGCAGGTGTGAAGAGAGGAGTCTAGAAAGGAGCTAGGGAAAAGGAGACCAAGGTTACGATCACACTGCAGGCCTCAATGCTCAATTCTGATTTTTTTTGCGAAATCCAATTTCTTTACATTGCCGTTCATATTTCCAAATATATGCAACTTGTATGTGATCTCCTGTGTGAACTGCAGTCATACAATGCAAGTGTTCCGCATGCGCAGCAGAGGACGCAATGACCTCACAGGTCAGCTTGCTCTTTTTTTCCGGAAGTAAACATGGATGGTAGTGCCGGCGCGCATCTAGCGGTCTTTTCCAAACATAAAAACACAATCTTTTCAATATGGTTAAACATAAATACTGCTCTCCGCATCACCATCTGCCATGGTTGTTGTTTTTCTTGCCGCTTCTACGTAGCAAGACGCAGAATAGTGACCTTTGTCGCGTATTAATGACGTTCAAGTCGGATGAATCCGACCTGAACGCTCAGACACAGGTCGCATTTGAAAAGATACGATTCATATCGGATTCAGGACCACATAGCCAAGTGGCCTGGGTCGCATTGGAAAAAATCGGATATGTGTTGTTCAGACTGTCATGAAAAGATCAGATACAGGTCGAACGTGAGCAAAAAAAATCAGATTTGGGTCACTTAAGGCTGCAGTGTGAACGTAGCCGTTGGGAGACTGAACAAAGAGAGGGCTAACAAGCTGATTGGGAGCAGGTGTGAAGAGAGGAGTCTAGAAAGGAGCTAGGGAAAAGGAGACCAAGAGGGCAACCAAAGGCAACATATAAAAACCTAAGAACTGAAATATAACCAGAAAACACAACAAAATGGGAATAAAACCAATAAAACTATACTAACAGAACCAAGACCACTGACCTTCAAAGCTTTTCTAACAATCAACACGTAAAGAATAGAAATATCTTTTTAAAACTTCTGTGTATAGCTGAAGAACAATAAAGACAGAAGGAGTGAAGGAAAGGAGACAAAAAAGACAGCAATAAAGAACAACAGGAGGGAAATGAGGGAAGATACAAGAATAGATGCACAAAACAGAAGGACTCCTTGAAGAAATGGAGGCAGAACATCAGGAAAAATTGGAGACAAAGAAAGAAGAGTGGGTAAATATGGAAGGTCACATGGAAAGGGAAGAAGATCAACCAAAAAAAGAAAGACAGGAAGAAAGAATAAAGGTTACAAGGGAGAGAGAGCATGTAACCGAAGAATGACACATGGAGAGGACATAAAGGGCATAAAGAAAGAACGTACTGTCCATGACACAGGAAAATAGCCTAGAAATACAAATACTTCTTCAAGCAGCCATTATCAAGACCTGTAAAGTACTAAAAACAAATCCCATGCTTTTCAAGAACCCTTCTTTAAACTCTTGACTGGATTGTGAACCATGATTACTACCATCCTAAAGACACTGACCTCAAACATCCAATACAGCTGTCGTTCTAGAGGTGCTGTAATCTAGTCATCGGAGTTCTTGTCAAAGTCTCAGAAATCCAATAATTTAATTCCATCGTATACTAACTTACTGGTGACATACACCACACTAAATTTTAGCTGGACTTTATTCAAACATAAAATGTAATGATAAGTACACCCCCCTCATGTTTCACTTATGAAATAACGGCAGAATGTCGATTACAGTAGGTGTATTTTCTCACAACAGGTAATGGCACAGACCAGCTAATAGCTTCGACCATCAATCACTGCTAAGTGCTTTCAAGCTCGGCTTATTGATCTGCTGGCGCTATTGAGAAATTAGGCTCTTATCTACAAACTGGTGGCCTGATGCCACGTTGCTCTGCTGGGAAAAGAGCTGAGGTGTGGAAAAGAGCTGGCAAACATCTCACTGGCCCAACGAAGGGGTGGAGAGACGGAGGAAATGAATCCAGGTAGCAGTTTGTGGGGTACTGATGGAGAGGCCTAAGCTTTTCCACTAACAAAGCGATGCCCTGGAAATGTTAAAGGGGCATTCCAGCTCACATGCCAAAAAGCTGTGAGTGGTGGCAACTGTTTTTTCATCAAGATTACACACTAAATAAAAAAAAAAAAGCTGTAAAAGTGCAACGGTCAAGGCCTTAAATGCCAAAGACCTCCCTGCTGTTTGACATTTACCACGCCCCCCCCATACCCAGCAAACACACATAAAAGAAGCAGCTGACCTCAGCGGGACGAGCATCTCGCATCGGCCTGTTTGCTTGGAAAGCCTAAGTCCGGAGGGCGTGAGGTGTGAACATAGAGAGCAACGTGCAGATAAATACAACCTGACAGGCTTGCAGAGAAACTCTATATATAACTACAAAAGATGGATTGAGAGCCAGTTGGAGGCGGCAATTGTATTGGGTTGTTAGTTGTAGCATCTCGCTACCGCTTCTCCCTGACTAAATGATCCGAAGCTCCTTAATGCAGCTGCAGTACAGCTCTGTATCACTTAGTCATAAAGTTAACATTCGTCAGTGCTTGGGATAAACCTCAGTGGACAATTATACTGGTTGATGTCTACTAGAGCTGAGCACCAATCTAGGACCATTTGAAATATCAAAGTAAGAGAACATTTCAAAATAAAGACGTGTTAAATACATTGGCATGCACAGACTATTTAAGGGACAGATGGAAAGAAAAACTGCACTGTAGTGAAAACACTTTAGACTTGTGTTTTGGCTTCCATGGGGGCACTTAAACATGCATTGGGTTCCCAAAAGGGCATTTCTCCGTGTGTTTTGACTCCCAAAGTTGCACTTAATAACGTGTTTTGGCTACAGAGGGGACACTAGCACGGGATTTTGACTCCCAAGAGAAAAGTTTAGCACAACTTTTGGCTTCCAAGGATGCACTTTAGCACATGAAGTGGCTCCAGAGAGGTCATTTTAGCACGTTTTAACTCCTGGAGGGACTTAAGCATGCTTTTTGGCTCCAAAGAGGGCATTTAACTCACATTTTAGTTCCCAATGGGCACTTTAGCTAAGCCTTTGGTACAGTGGGGGGAACTTTAGCTACTGAAAGGGCATTTTAACATGCATTTTGGCTTCTAAAAGGGAACTTAAACATGTATTTTTTAACAAAAGGGCCACAAGGAGGCCCCCGTGCACACCACTTGTTGAGTATGAGACATAAAAACATCCCTTTTCCTTAATTCTCCAAGTATTTGAATCAATATATGTTTAAATAAGTCTGGGCGATTAATTGATGTTATCTGCTAATCAAATTTTAAATTTTAAATATTCTTTTCATAGAAAATATTTTTTTTAACCTAATCAAGTGTTTCCCACAGGATTTTAAGGAGACTGTGGTGGGAGAGTCTCTGACCCTCGGGG